ATTAGAATTTTCTGAGACAATGAATTTTGGTTTTTCATTTTTTCCCCAGTAAGGGGTTTTTATTTAATTGAATTTTTGGACAATAAAATCGCAATATATCGCCTTGCTTATAGTATCGCAATATATCAGGATATATCGTATCGTGACCCATCTGTCATGAAATGTATCGTATCGCCAAATTCTTGTCAATACACAGCCCTAGTGTGAATGTTATGAAGCATTCACACTGTTAGACATGGAAGGTAAAAGAGACTCTCCACTAGTTTAGACYTATTTTATTTATCTATTTTTAAAGCATTTATTGTGTTTTGTTGTAACTTGATCTGAGATGATGCAGGGAGGTCATGTCAGTGAAAATACCTGCAGGGATTGAAACAGTTCACCTGTACCGTGGAGGAGGATCTGTGTTTCCTCGTGGTCGTGGTGGACATCATGGTGGTGGTTTCGATGAAAGTCGTGGACATCTCCGGAGACAGAGCGGTGGTCTTGGCCGAACCCGGCACGTTGGGCACGTCGCCGACCAGCCTCACGCTYCCGTTGATCATGATGTTGACGTTTGATTCGGCAGCCATTTTTAACACCTTCAGGCCGTTATAATAAAGACCCGACAGCTGGCCCTGAAACGGTCGGCCTCGGTCYCTGCCCCCGACTGTGATTGTTGCTTGAGTGTTGAAAATTGTTAGCTGTCGTCCTGAAAAAGAAAAAAAAACACATCCACCTTGAGAAATGTGTCACAGAAAGGCAACTTTTATGATATAGTATGACTATAGCTCATCACAGTATTGCTAAAATGTTGATGCTGTGATAAAAGAAAGAGTTTATACATGAAGAAAGCATAAAAAAACAACCACAAAAGAATGAAAGGCTGGTGAAAGACTAAAAAACACAGATTGTTTTAAACTCTCATTCTCTGTATGATGTATTACATTGTGAACATTTTGATGACATGAAGTGTATGATGTTGATAATTAAAGAGTTTTAAAACGTAGCAGGTCATAAATGAAATGTAAACACTTTATTTGTAAAGTTTAATCTCAGTTCAACAAATCGAAACATTTAAAATTCTAACCGGAGCTGTAAACAAAATGCATAAAGAGAAAACAAACAGCCGAACAGCTTTTAGGAGCTTTAGAGTTTTTACTTTTTTAACGAATATTATTTTTAATTTCCTAACCTGTCAATTTGAGTTGATGAACTGTTTAGGACAAATGATGAAGTTGAACCAGTGTAGAAAATTTAGAATGAGAACAAAAATCTACAAATTGACTTTACGCTTTGCTGTTACCAACACACGAGTTTTTTTTTTTTTTACTTTACAACTAAGACATTGAGCTGTAAACTCAGAAGAAGAAATATTTTCAAGGTGAGAGTGAGCATCCCAGAGTTCATGATCGTGTCATCAAATGCTAAAAAAAAAACCTGTTTAATATTTTTATTTTAAGCAACAGAACATCAGGACAGTGAGAAAAGACAGACAAAATGTTTGTTTCAAATTACCTTTCTCTTGTAGCCAATCCTCTACAGGTCGGACATATTTGAAAGGGATTTTCTTATTGACCTTATCATAGCGTTCTCCATCGTTGTTCCCTTTAAAATTTAAAAAGACATTTAAAAAGACATTTATTTACCATCAGGATCATGTCAGCTGAAGAAAACATGACTGTTCCTCCAATTCCTCCAACACATACAAAAGRTTGAAATCATTTTAGCTAAAAAATTGATTTCAACAAGACTTTTTTTGGTTTGTTAAATAAACAAAAAAAAMGCACTCTCACATTTGGACATGCCTCCTGAGYCCCAAGCTTTTGTTTGATGTTCTTTCTCCAAGATACATGGGATTAGTGGGATCTAGTATAATAACAGACTCTGCATATGGTGGAAGTGGTGTTTGGGGAAAAATGATGTCCTCATATGAGGACAGTGGGTCTCAAACTGTCCTGCTTGTTGAGGAATACCTGAGCAATAACCAAGCAAAACTTAAGGAACTTCACAAAAGCCTTTCTGGGGCGACCTTTTCCTTGTTATTTTGGTAATACAGCAACCAGCTGTTAGCATAATCATCATAGTCAATGATGACTTTCAAGGTTTCTGCTCAGTTTGGAGAACATATTACATGACATAATGGCAGGAAATCACAGAACATTTGACCAGATGATCCTACGTACAATGAATTATTTGAACAAACGTACCACATGCAAGAACTATTTACGCGTGTGAGCTGTTCAAAATATTTCCAGATTTGTTTAACAAAAATTTGTGGCCAGGTGTACCACTTAATGGCTGTGTCCAAAACGACAGGCTGGGTCCTCCGGAGGACCCAGACTACCCGGTCGCGGCGGGCCGGGTCCTTGGTAGACCGGGAAGACCGGAAAAAAAGAGGCTGTGAATTTGGACGGTCTAGCCTCCCCTCCTTACCCTGGCATACGTCTTGTCACCTAGCAACTGTGACGACGCTAAACAAGAAAACTTAAATCAAAACTAGAAAATTATCAATACATTAGCATTATTAATATCACAAAACTATAAAATTAACTTAAAAGTATCATTTGAAGAACTAATTGACCCGCTGTAGGTTCATGTTTATTTCGCGTTTTTTATGACGAAAAAATAATATTTAAAAACATGTCCATACAAATGATAAAAGTATTAGGATTACAACCGCTATTTTTTTATATCACCATATTTTTATTTAAAATGTATTCTTTTCTCTCGCTTCATCCGCCATTACTAGCATAAAAAAATATCCGGTCGGGCCACAATGCATTATGGGATATGCTGGGTCGGGAAGGATCCATCGGACCTGTCCTTCGATTCGGGCCAAAGGAAGGACATATTTGTCGGCCACATCGGAGGAGTCTTCGGTTTTGGACGTCCTTCGTCGCGGCGCTGTGACGTATGCGGCCGACAAATTCGACCTTCGGAGGACCCGTCCTGCCGTTTTGGATACAGCCAATGACTGTTTACATTTGTGAACTCTTCTCAATATTCCCAGGTTTATCTAACCTTACGGTTCAATCAAAAACAAAATTATAATCCCAATGTCCTCAAATGAGGACTTAATCTTTACCAACATGGTACTTTGCGATATTTGCAGAAATTGGTCAATTTTTATGTATTACAAAGTTAAATATGTGACATATTCACAGAGTTTCAACATGAAATATGATTAGGATTTTTATCTTGCCCGTTTTCCTGACAAGTTGCTGTAGAAGCTTTTTACTGGAATCCCTGCCATCTTGTTTTCACTGCAATGAGTGTAATGCTGTCAGATGACCTATAGATGGTGCTACTAATGTCTATAATGAGACAAAAGGATCAAAGCTGGGAAAAAAAGAAGTATCATGGTGCAGAGAGGCAACAATGCAATGTCCTCGTATGAGGGCGTGGGGTCTCAGGAGGTATCAGTGAAAGTTCCTATTTGTTCCTTCTAAAATAACCAAACTTGTTGATTTTTGTCACAGATTTTTGTTTTCTTGCATTAAAGTTCAAATTCTCAGCTCTCTTAATCGTATTGCAGAACTTCATAAATTAAYTGTTTGTTGTCAACATTTTTTCACTCTTTAGGCCATACAAAACCAGATATAATTGTGTTGATTGGCCTTTTGGCTTAAAAGACACCATAACAGATTATATAATCCAGTCCTTGATTTGTGTCATCATGTCTACTAGTGGAGGAACCTCATTTGTTGGGGCTATTTAAATTTTGTTGGGAATCAAACCAAAAATTCTAATAAATAAAATAAAGTGAATGAGCTCTGCGTCAGAAAGGGCATGAAAAATAATTACTGTAATTCTGTAAAATACTTCCAAGGCTTAGATTATCGTATTTTATACAACATAAAATGAAAAAAAAAAACACAACATATAACAGGACATAAATAAYTCATGTTACCAAATCACTGGGCAGCATGTGTTTATAGATCAACATGTGAAACTTGTATTTTATTCACAGAAAGAAATGTTTTTATTGATTGTTTATGTGGGGTGCACCAATCCATAGAAGCTTGCGTTGCAGTTAAAACAAAACAAAACCAGATTATGTCAATCCTGAATCCAAGATCCAGACTTCTAGACTTCAGTCTGAGCATCGGAGCAGTAAAACGATTCATTTGGAAACCATTAAAGTCTTCAAATCTCATCTAAATACGGTGACATTAATGAACAGATGAAAGTCATTTACTTAACTCATTTATAATTCACCCTAAAAGCCAAGAAAACCTCCAGCCATCAGAGCAGATGTTCTGCTGTTTCAGATTGTAGGATTTAACATTTCCAAACTTTAAAAGGATTGTTCCAGATGCCAAAATGGCAGCTGCAAAATATTTCAGAGGAGCCATTTTTTTCAAACTTATTATGTTTCCATTAAAGTGCAGTTTTTATTGACTCAACCATGAATATATAAGGTATAATTCTGTAAAAAAATAAAACACAGATGCTGCCCAGTGATTGTCTCAGCATCACAGTGACTTCACTTTCTCATACAAACTGTCAAACATCCAAAAGTTTTCTGTTGTTGTACCTGTTGGAAAGTGTTCATTGATTAACCAGTTATCCACCTGCAGCGTTGCATTGCCACCGTTCCTGGTGAAGCGGACAACGTGATACTTCCCGTCATTCACTGGGGTGCTGCTCTCCTGCACCGTGATGTCCTCGGTGCCGATGTTAAAGGTCACACCGATCTTCCCTTGTTGCTGAAAAGACAAAGCGTTTGTTGTTCGGCTTACTTCAGCTCTGCTGAAATTAAATACTCGTGTTCAACTGGATCATTGTTTTGACGTCTTTTTGAATTCTGAACCTGGATAAAATGCAGGACTGTTTTAATATCTATCAAAATCAACTTTTTTTTTATTTGATGAGGAAGGACAGAGTTTAAACTGAACTGAGCCTAGCAGAATGAGTGAGTACTCACTATGTGCAGCATCAGATAGTCCCCCAGACCAGGRGCGCTGTCGATCCGGACCAGGATGCCGTCTTTCAGGGAGGTGCTGAAACCTACGGTCAGTCTGTCTGTCCTGGTGCTCGGCCTCTCGTTGGCTGGCCAGTTGAACAAAATGAGGCCTCCTCCTTTGCCAAAGATATACGTGGTTCCAGCTGGGCAGAGCAGAAGGAGAAATATAAATTATGAGACAAACAGCAGCAAYAGTCTCTTCCAAATTCTGGAACGTTTCTTAGCTTAGCAGAGAAAATGCATTGAAACCATTGGAGCGCCCTTTTCGGTCAGTGTGTGACCATATTGTGGTAAATACATAGACTGACAGTGTTTCTGCAGGGGGAGCCTCTCCCTGCAGCTCAGCTCCCTCTTCACCACAACGGACCAACACAACATAKGCAATACTGCAGAAACTGCACCTATTTGTCTGTTCTTTTCTTCCCTGGCCATGAACCAAACCCTGAAATGCTTGAACTGTAATGTTACAAAGAAACCTTAAGTCTGTCGTATCATTAAAAAGACTTGTTCAGCTGCTTTGTTCCGTAGTTTCTAATTTTAAAGAAAAAGTAGTTCAAAGGTAAAAATAAAAAAAAGTAAGGTAGACGCTGCAGAAATTCATCAGTTCATTCAACTGTCTTATTTTAATATTTATATGACTAACTTTTATAGTCTTTTGTTGGCCCTGTCTTAATGTTTGTGAGACAAGTTGCTGCCATCAAAAGCCAAATGACAAATTTTTGTTAAAACTTGTATAAAATGTTTTCTATTTTATTTATTTACCATGTTCCACTGTGATGTAATGGGTTGAAAATCATTACATTCTGTTTTGGTTTACATTTTACACAATGACTGTTCAGTAATGTTTAATAAATATAAATCTGTCATGCAGGAGTGAAGTGACATACTGCTGCCACTAGGGGGCAGAGCTGTGCTGATGCTGTCCCTGTTCCTCTGCAGAAAGGACAGAAGTCACAGACAATGGACAAAGATCCAATGGAGTAAATGTTAAAAACAGTTAGAGCTAATAAGAGTTTTGTTTCTTTTCTATTTGATTAATTTGTTTGGAGTCTTTTATTATTTTGGGAAATAAATTATATCAGAGACATCTTGGCAAGATAAGTAACCGTCTAGACAAGATAAGTAAACCAGAACAGTTTTTTTAAATTTATTTCTGCAAGTTCTGCAGTCTTACAGAAAATTTTCTCTGCAGGGCTCCATCAATCAGWCCTTTGCAAAGAGGAAAGCCACACAAACTAAACAAATCATAACCTGCAYCATTGAATTTAATGAGGATTTGATAAAGAAAAATATGTCTTTTGGAGCTGCTACCTTTAAAGCAGCAGAAAATACAAGTGACCAAGTAAAAAGAAAATAAATTAAAAGAGGAAAGATGTTTCTGAACGCATCAAGCTGAGGTTTAACCTAAAACCATCTTAGTTTGGAAAAACAACAAAAACAGATCTGGTCCCAGGATGAGCACAAAACCTAAAACTCTTCTAAAAGAGCAAAAAACATTAAACACAAGATGTAGCTTCTCAAATTAAAATAATTTTAAATAACTTATTTTGACATTTTATTTGAGCTTTTCCTGAAGGTTAGAGGTCATCTGCAGACGGAGCAGCTCTCACCGTGCCCAGCCTTCAGAGAAGCAGATCTGTAAACGGAGACAGCCGGAGGGGAGCGGCGCCTCGCCACAAGCAGCTGTTGCTCAGRGGAGGATCCGTACGAGTCTGTTGCCACGTGAAGTCTGGTGGCGCTCACAGAGTTCACCTTTTGTCCCGGTGAGGACGCAGCAATGCATGCCACAAACAGCCAGCCCACCCAGGCACTGCATTGAAGGACAATCAGACCGGGGGGCTGACATGAACCCCTTTTTATAGGACCCCACGAATGTAAAGCACCAAAGGGAACCATGATGGTGAATATTGAAGTTTCACAGCAGAATATCACAGAGAAACAGGCTCATCTTGGAGAAAACAAACAATCTGTAGGATCCAGACAAACACATTGGAGGCTGAACTTAGTCAGCTACAAGAAGAAGAAAAATCCAGCAGAGAAACAGATCTTCCTTTCAAACATTCACTGCAAGGGTCTCCTGATAAATCAGGAGGGATTAACACCTCCTGCATCCTTCTCTGGGTGAAACTGTGCTTTAACTGCTGCAGTCAGCTCCAAATCTTTTCTCTGGTCACTGTGAGAACATTTTAATTCTTTTTTTTTTGGCAAGAAGACCTCACAGACAGGAACATCTCTTTGATCCTCTACAACATGGCCACAGAACAGAAAACTATAAATCCACTTCTGCACGTTCTCCTCGGTTTTCATTCTCCAACACCTCCAGAAGAATAAAACATTCATGAAATCTCTCAGCGACAAGAAAACTCCCGTTTTGTTTTGTGGCTTCCCATCTCAGCGTTGGCCCTTCGTTTGATGCATCCGCTCGGTCTGGACGCTCCCGCCTTTTTAACGAAGTGAGCAGCAACGATCTGGATCCCAGAGCTGCCACAGCATGAGAGAGAGGGAGCGAGGAGAGGAGAGGAGGAGGGGGGTCGGACCATGAAGGAGCTGAGGTAAAACAACGCTGAGGATACATAGGGGAGTTAAAAGAAGTTAAAGGTTTGTTTTATTTTGTTCTGTCTCTTTATGAGAAAGGATTTCCATAAAAAGCAACCCCCCAAACATGAAATGTTTCAGTTTACTCTGTGAAACAGCTGCTCAGACTCTTCATGGGTTTAACATTGAAGCTGGCGTTTAGCTCCAGTTGAGCAGAACATCTTGTTTTTTATTAAAAAGCTTAATTTCATTATATTAAGACTCAGTGTTCAGTATGGGGTGCCGTTTGTAAAGTTACACAGTCAAAAATTACCACCAATATTTTTGTTTTATTTAGCCTTTTATAAGAAAAAGAAGAACATGATTATTTTTCAAAGTCAGTTTTTCACCATATGATTCATAGATTTATAAATGTCATAGTTTCTAAACTAAATAT